TTAGCAGAGGCCTGAATCAGGCTGAGGCCCAACCTGAGGAGCTGCTGGAACAGAAGAGTTTGGAGAGGAGATGGAGGAAAATGGTCTTAAGCCATAAACAAGCTCCAAATACAATGTAATCCATAAATTCAGAGACTGGGAGGCAGTGTGCTGGTCCAGCCTTCAACAGATAGGATACTCATTCCAGGCAGGAGACGGTAAAAGAGAGAATGTATTTGAAGCCAAAGAGAAGAGCTCCCTCTGACTCTGTGTTAGTCAGTTTTTACCGACCATGCCGTAGTAACACAGATTTAGTTCTTACTCATGTTCCATGTTGGCTGTTCCATGTGTTCCCTTCATTTTGGGATCCAGGCTGAGGTTACAGCCTCTATCTGGGATGTTCCCTTCCTATAGCAGAGGGAATTGAACAATGGCAGGACCATGTGATGGCTTTAAACACTCCTGCTCAGATGTTATAGATAAAATACTTCTGCTCACATTTCATTGATAAAGTAAATCACATGGCAGGCATGCCTGACATCACTGGGGAGGGGATGTGTACTCCTCCCACAGGGAGACATTGAAAATCACATGCCAATGAGTGAGGATATATAATCTTACAGTGAGGGCAAAATTAACTGGAAATAATAATACAGTCTCCATAGTCCACCACTTGGTCAAAATATTCATTTTCCTCTCTTTCCCAAGCAAAATAGACTTATACACATCTTAGGAAGATGCCCTAAGAGTTTTATCCAAGCATGACATCAGGCTTCAAGTTCAAGATCTTGTGATTCTTTCTATATCAGGTCAGAGTGTGGCTCCGCTTGATTTAGAAAATTATGGACTTAAAAAGACAAGTCATCTGCCTCCCATTTATACTCAATGCACAATAATGGAACAGGGACAGGAAAACCAGAACAAACGTTGTCAGTAAGAAAGAAGAGGGATGGGAGTCATGCAGCAGACATTGATTCTTAGAGACTCTGAAGTCCTGCTAGACAAATGTCACAGGGCCAACTTCCTTGGGAACTGGGGTGGTTCTTGCTCCATGGGAGAGTTGCTCTAGTCATTGTTCTCTAGCTCTCTGGGAGGTCCTTCCTTGTCTGTTACAGTAAGTCCTCACTTAATATCATCGATAGATTCTTGGAAACTTCGACTTTAAGTGAAGCGACATATAATAAAACCAATTTTCCCAGAGGCTAATTGACATAAACAAGAGTTAAGTTCCTATGGCATGTTTCTGGCCTCAAAACATCCCCACATTTCTAAATAAAGACCCAAACATTTCTGATATTAAACATTGAGATAAATGTGAGCTATACATACATTTAAGAAAGACTAATAAAAACAAGTAAGATAATTTATTCCAGTTCAGGGTCGTGGGTGACCAGAGCCTATCCTGGCAGATCAGGGTGCAAGGCGGGGACCCACCCTGGACAGGAGGCCCTTCTATCAAAGGGCCACTCATACCCACAGCCACTCTCACTCAGATGAGACAATGTACACATGCTGGTTCACCTAACATGTGCATATTTGGGAATGGGGAGGAAACCGGAGTACCTAGAGAAAACCCATGCAGACATGGGGAGATGTGCAAACTCCACACAGTTGGTCTATGGGGAATCAATTTTTTCTCTCACCAACATTACAATGAAACAACGTAGAACTAAATGACATGATTCAAAGACCTGCTGTGTTTTCTTTGGCCACATCTGAAAAGGGCTGGAGAGAGAACCTGACCTCCTTGGGGACTGAGCAGCATTCTCAGCCGGCTTCTTTTTTTTTTTTTAAATATATTTTTTTTTGACTTTTTATTAGAAGTCTATTATCCAAACAAGCACTGTGTTAATTTTGCTTTAAAGAATGAAGAAAGGCCTCCTGGTGCTTACCACAGGCTGTGTTCTTACACTGACTGTATAGAAATAGGAGGCAGAGTAAACTTACCCCATATACACCTCAGCTCAGGCTCTTTGCCTGGTCTGTATTGTGAATGGGGAGACATTGAAAAAAAAAAAATGAAATCGAACCTGGAACCCTTCAGTCCGCAGGCTGACGCTCTATCCACTGAGCCAAACCGGTCAGGGCTCAGCCTGCTTCTTATCTGAGGAATGTTGGGTCATTTTAAGTCTCAAATAGGCACAGTCTCTTATAATCCAAATTGGTGACTCTTAGTAGTTCAACTCTTTCAAAATATAATTTCTTTTTATACTTTGACTTCTGCCACCTCCTGTGCCAGTAGTAGCCTTTTCCGTAATTATTTTCAAGACATCCATCTCTCTAGACTGAATTAGAGATACCTTGCCCTTATCGGGCTTCTGTGGGAGAGCAATTTCCTTATTCTTTTTTCCCTAAATTCATTGTCCAACTGGCAGGATTTATTGGATATCATCTCAATCAATGAGAGATCTCCACAAAGGGCCTGATAACCACAAACTTGATTTGGTCTTTGCTCCAAGGCTGAGTTGTAACAGACTTTATTACTCAAAGCATTTTTCAATTTTATCTTTTACCATTTGAAGATGAGAAGCAGTTGCAACTCTTTTTAAAAAAATATATTTTATTGAGTATTTACAGAGAGGAAGGGAGAGGGATAGAGAGTTAGAAACATCCATGAGAGAGAAACATCAATCAGCTGCCTCCTGCACACTCCCTACTGGGGATGTGCCCACAACCAAGGTACATGCCCTTGACCAGAATAGAACCTGGGACTCTTCAGTCCACAGGCCGACGCTCTAGCCACTGAGCCAAACTGGTCAGGACCAGTTGCAACTCTTAATCCTGTAAGTCCTGGAATTTCTGGATTCTCCCTTTGCTGTTTCCTTTCTATTTGCAAACTGGCCAGTTCTTTTCTGAGCTTATATCTTCCTTTGAGTCCCTTGCCAAATGCAGCCAATAGCAATGAAGACATACTACTAACCTTCTGTTTCTCACCTTCTCCCCTTAAAGTATGAGCTCATTCAGTATATCATCATTCTTCACCCTGTTCAGTCCCAAAGCCAATGCCATATATTAGACTTTTGTTGTTGTCGTTCCTGCAACACTCTACTTCTATTTACCAATTGCATTTTTAGTAAGAATTTGCTAGGTTATGCTGCAGTAACAACCAACCAACCTCAAAATCTCTGGCTTTCAACAACAAAAATGTTTTTCTTGCTCATGTTACACATCTGCTGCAGGCTTCCATAAGGTGCTCTACCTGTCTTCTTCATTCAGAGATACCGGCTGATAGAGGTAAGAGAGCAACAGCAGAACCAGAAAATGGTTCTTAAAACTTTTGCTCCGATGGATGTGATTTATGAAACTTCAGCTCACAATGCACAGGCCAAGCAACTCACATGGCCAAGCCTGGCAGTGGGACAGGGGTCTGAAAGTCACATGGCAACAGGTGGGGATGTATAATCTTTCCACAGGGTGGGTAGCAAATAATTGGAAACAGTAATACAATTTATCACACTCTTTGATTCCTGCTTTTCACTCCTCATCTTAATCCCTTCTGTTTCAGAACTTGCCCTGAGACTTCTCCTTGGATCCTTTTGCCTCCCTTTTCCCCTTAGAAGCATGAGGTCTTTCCATGAATCCAAACTGTCCTCTCCTCTTTGGCTGACATCATCCATATTCCTCATTTCCTAAAGATGCATTCATAGAGATTTATTGGGTGACAAACTTGCAAGCTCACTGTTGGGGTCCAGCCCCAGCAGGTCCAGGGGTTCCCAAAGGTGTGGACAGAGTTGATGAAGAAGGAATGACATGGAGGCAGCGTTCAGATGATCAGCATAGTGAGGTTCTTTCTTTATTCTCCTGTTACATCTGTATTTATACCAGTTGATTTTAATCCTATCCATTCCATTCCAAAGGTTAGGGCGTTTGTTATCTCCATTCCAAGGTCACTGCTGTGCAGATGCAGATGTTTCTTCTCTGCAGCGACTGTGTCAAGCAGCAAGGATAGACTGGCTTCCGGCAAATTCCCCCTTTTTTATTTTTTGAATGATAGCACATGTAAATCAGTGGCCACCTCTCGGATTGGGTTGTTTAAGCCTCAGAAGACCTGTTTGTGACTTTGCCAACAGGTCAGTCTGAGGCTTAACCCTATTTCGGCTCCCCACAGCTCACCTCTCTCACCTCTCTTCCAGCAAGATTTATTAACCAACATTTATTGAGTACCTACCATGTATACGAACTATGCAGTGATTTGATAAAACCCAGTAAGCCCCCTTAAGGAGCCCACAACCCCATGGGGGTACTGTGAGAGATGTGTTTCCTTCAAGATCATTGCTTCTTCCTTGTATGCTTTTCTCCCTCAGGTTCAGTTTGGGACCTGGCCTCACTTCCATCTCCTCCATAGCCAAGTGGTCAGGCCTGGAACAGAGTCTACCACTGCCCCTTCTCCAATAGGAAGAGAAAACAAGACAGAGTACTGTTGCCTGCTCATGGACCTTCAGAAATATGTCTAGTGGTTAGGAGCAGAGATTCTGCAATCAGATAGTCTAAGTTTGAAATCCTAGCTCCCCTTTTTAGCTTATGTGAGCCTGAGTGAGTGACTTAACTTCTCTCATCCTGTTTCTTCTTACCGAGCCAAAGGCTTCTTAGGAGGATTAAGTGAGATCAAATATATATAGAATATATGTACAGGATGTCCTCCCAAAGTGTATACATGCTTTAACAGCTGATAGCTCAGTTGATGTTTCTTTCTTTTCAGATTTAACCCATTGGAATTAACAATGGGTTAAAAGTATGTATATAATTGGGGGGACACCCTGTATATATAGGGTGTCACTTATACTATAGTGCCCAGCACACAGTGTGCTCAACATGGTACCTTTACTATTCTTATCATCAAACCTAGTTTATTCATGGCCCTGCTTTTTTCTCTCTTCTGCACAGCTTACAGCTAGTTAGGAAGAGACTGCATTTTCCTTTTCTCCTCGGGGCTTTGAGGTCTGACTCAGCAGCCTCAGCCCCTCCAGCTCCTGTCCCCAGCCCCGTCCTCAGGACTCTGGTGCTCCCCACCTTGTCTCTAGGTGACTATGAGCCGGATGTCTCCCCCTATGAAGACACAGTGACCAGAAAACCCTGGAAAATGAATATCAGCAAACTGAGCATGCTCAAGCCAGGTGTGTTGGCAAGCAGAGACTATGGTGTGGGGGCTGGGCCTGGGCCCTGGTGAGAAACACAAGCTGGGAGCTTGTGAGGGAAGAGTCCTCACCTGCCAGGTAACTAAAGCAGCGTTGTGCAGGGTGGGAGCCTGAGTTCTGGGGCATAGCCTGGCCTCACAAGAATCATCAAAGAGCAGTAATTATCAGGGAGGCATTCGAAGTGAGCCCATTTGGGCTCCTTGTTTCCAAAAGGTGGGTTTCTGCAAAGGATTTGTGGGGGTGGCAGCAGTCCCAGAAAAAAAAAAAAAGTGCTGAAATGGATTATTTACCCTCATTCGAGGTAGGCACGAAAGTAGTTTTTTGCCCTGGCTGGGTAGCTCAGTTGGTTTGAGCATCGTCCCAATAGGCCACTGTTGTGGGTTTGATCCCTGGCCAGGACACATATAAGAATCAACCAATGAATGCATAAATAAGTGAAACAATAAATCCATCTTTCTCTCCCTTCCTCTTTCTCTCTAAAAAAAAACATCAAAAATTCTTTTTAAGTAGGTTTTTTTTTTTTTTTTTTGGTCTCTGAAGACTAGGAAATTGCTTGTTTTCAACCATTTTAATGGGATGGGCAGGGAAAATGGTTAGAGAGTGACTCCTCAGGAGTGTCTGAGGGTGGGGAGCCATCTGTCTGGCAAGGACTATGCAGCATGTTTTTCAGGAAAGTGAAGCTGTCGTGTTAATTAGAAGGGAATGCACACACATCCACTCTCTTTTTGAGAAAGATGGGAGTTTTGTTATATAGTCCTATATATTCGAATTTTGAGAGAAAAGCAAAGAGATTTATACATAAACTCTTAGTTACACGGAATCCAGGAATTTACCTGTTCCAGTTACTCCATTGTTCTGATTGCTGGAATAGTCTATTAATTGGAATATCACTGTAATTTCCCAAGACTCAAGAGAATGGGAAACTTTTATGCATGCATCAACCAATGCAAGAAAAGCAGGTGATATTAATACTGAGCAGAATAGATAGATGTAAAACAAAACCAAAATCCTAAGTAGAATTTGGTTGCATTTGTTGGACAGTTCAGAAAATGCTTTATTAATCCTCACCAGAGGATATTTTTTCCATTGATTTTTAGAGAGAGTGGAAGGGAGGAGAAGAGACAGAGAGAGAAACAGTGATGTGAGAGAGACACGTGGATTGGTTGCCTCCCGCAGGGGCCCGGTATCAAGCCTGCAACCTAGGTACCTGCTTGCAAGCCAACAAGGCTGTAACCACTGAGCAAACCAGCTAGGGTCAGAAAGTGCTTTAGATCGTTGTAGCTTATTTCCACCATGAGATTTCGTTCGATACATAAGATTGAGGAAAGGGTTTTGGTTATTTGAGCTTTCTGGCTACTTGAATTCTAGATAAATGAGCTCTATGTATGTGGTTTTTCTGCCCCCCTCCCGCCCGCTCCCCCACGCCCCCAAGTCAAGCTGAGGAGTAGGAGAGTAGCTTACTCTGGGCAGTCCTTCCTTTCTTCCTACCCCCACTACCATGCTTGTTAAATCAGAGGGTTGCAAGAATTCCTAGGGAAGCTGGGTTTGCAGGAGGACTGTGACTTGGTGCGGCTCTTTCCACAGACTCGGACCTCTGCCTTAAGTTCGCCATGCTGTGCACGCTTAATGACAAGTGTGACCGGCTGCGCAAGGCCTATGGGGAGGCCTGCTCCTCGGGGCCCCACTGCCAGCGCTCCACCTGCCTCCAGCAGCTCCGTGCTTTCTTCGAGAAGGCATCAGAGCCCCACGCGCAGGGCCTGCTGCTGTGCCCCTGTGCGCCTTCTGACCTGGGCTGCGGGCAGCGCAGGCGCAACACCATCGCCCCCAGCTGCGCGCTGCCGCCTGGGACCCCCAACTGCCTGGAGCTGCGGCGCCTCTGCCACGCGGACCGGCTGTGCAGGTGTGGTGCTGGGTGCGGTGGGCAGGATCTATTCTATAAGGACACTGTGCACCATTCCCTGCAGGCCGCCTTGGGGCGGTGCTGGATCCGACTCCCCAGGGGCTGTGCACTGACTTAACAATGTAGCTACCCTTCAAAATTTTATGAAACTCGTTTCTCAAAAAGAATATATAGTATTTTATTTGTGTAAAAACTTCAGAAAATATAAAAACGTATAAAAATACCACTCAAATGGACACAGACAACAGAGGGGTGAGGGCATGAGTCGGGGGGATGGGGGTAATGTGGGGATAAGGACACATAGGTAATAACTTAATCAATAAAGAAATTTAAAAAAATAAAAATACCACTCAAAATCTATATCACCTGAAGTTAATCTGCCATACTTTGGGGAGCATTTCCTTCTAGTCCTTTTTGTATATAGATAAATAAAATTTGATATTCTGGGAATATATTTATATCTTGTATCTTCTTCTCATTTATGGTACATATCTTATGAGCATTTTCTGGTGGAGGCAGTATGGAATAGTGGTGAAGACAGGCTCTGAAGTCAGACAGATCTAAATTTAAGTTGTGGGTCTGTGTGACCTTGAGCCAGTCACTTAACCTCAAATTCCATCACTTAACCCAGGTTTCCACTTAGTCCTCTGTGAAAACTGAGATAACTCGTAGAAGTTTCGTGAGAGTTAAAGTACATCATTTATGGACAGTGCTTAAGTTGCTGGTGCCAAAGTAAGTGCTCAATAAATGGTGGTGCTTATTTTGTCATTTACTGTCCTTTGGCAACTTGACTTTTTTCTTTTTTTTTCTTGTTAATCCTCACCCGAAGATTGTTTCCCCATTGATTTTTAGAGAGAGTAAAAGGGAGGGAGGAAGGAGGGTAGAAGGGAGAGAGAGAGAGAGAGAGCGAGAGAGAGAGAGAGAGCGAGAGAGAGAGAGAGAGCGAGAGAGAGAGAGAGAGCGAGAGAGAGAGAGAGAGCGAGAGAGAGAGAGAGAGCGAGAGAGAGAGAGAGAGCGAGAGAGAGAGAGAGAGCGAGAGAGAGAGAGAGAGCGAGAGAGAGAGAGAGAGCGAGAGAGAGAGAGAGAGCGAGAGAGAGAGAGAGAGCGAGAGAGAGAGAGAGAGCGAGAGAGAGAGAGAGAGCGAGAGAGAGAGAGAGAGCGAGAGAGAGAGAGAGAGCGAGAGAGAGAGAGAGAGCGAGAGAGAGAGAGAGAGCGAGAGAGAGAGAGAGAGCGAGAGAGAGAGAGAGAGCGAGAGAGAGAGAGAGAGCGAGAGAGGGAGAGAAGAGAAGAGAAGAGAAGAGAAGAGAAGAGAGAAACACATATTGGTTGCCTTCTGCACTCGCCCAGACCAGGGCCTGGGATCGAACCTGAAACCCAGGTACTGCTCTTGAGCAGAAAGGAACCTCTGGCCGACACTTTAACTACTGAGCCAAACCAGCCAGGGCAAACCACTTGATTTTTAAGAGCCTATATCTTACTCCAGTTTATGGATGCCCTGTATTTTATTTAATCATTCTTTATTGTTGGATATTTAGGATGTTTTCTAAATAATGCTGTATAAGTATCACTCTTATTTATTAATCTTTGTACACAAATCTAATTATTGGTTAGGATGTATTGCTACAAGTACCATTACCGAATCAAAGGGTATGAAGATTTGAAAGGTATTTGTTACATATTATTCAGCCAAATTCTGATCTGGCTTTCCTCTGCCTTCTCAGGAAAACACTCACCAAAATGTAGTTATCATCCATTCAAGTGACATTTGTTGACAATGGAGTCACATCAAGTCACACTTACTTCTCTGTAACCCTGGGCAAGTAGTTTAGCTTCTGAGTCCCACTTTCCTCTTCTGCAAATATTACATAGTCAGAGCTCTCAATAGTTATAACACTAGCTTTTACTGAGTACTGACTGTGGGCGAGGCACTGTTTTAATACTTACCATGTGTTAATTAACTCATCTAAACCTGACAAGAACTCTGTAAGATAGATGCTGGTTTGTTTGTGTGTGTGTGTGTGTGTGTGTGTGTGTGTGTGTGTGTTTTTATCAGCCTCAGTTTACAAATGAAGAAGCCACAGCAGAGAAAGGTTAAAGGACATGGTCAAGTTCACCCAGGTAGTAAGTCAGGTTTGTTAATAAGGTTTGGAATGAAGTCTGGCCTAGAGTCTGTACTCCTAACTTCTTTGCCATACTGCTTGTTATTGTGCTGGTAGCTAGTACTGATACATAACAAGTGCTGGCCTAGATGATAAAAATATCATTCCTTTCTTCTTCTTCTTTTTTTAAAATTTAATTTAATTTTATTCTATTGATTAAGGTATTACATATGTGTCTTTATCTCCCCATTGCCCCCAGAGTCCGAGTTCTTATTGAACAAGGAAGTCATGGACAAAACCGATTTTTTTTAAAGATATATTTTATTGATTTTTTACAGAGAGGAAGGGAGAGGGATAGAGAGAAACATTGATGAGAGAGAAACACCAATCAGCTGCCTCCTGCACACTCCCTACTGGGGATGTGCCTGCAACCAAGATACATGCCCTTGACCGGAATCAAACCTGGGACCCTTGAGTCTGCAGGCTGACGCTCTATCCACTGAGCCAAACCGGTTAGGATGACAAAAACAATTAATGGAACCAAAGTGTATTGGGAGAAGCCAGTCCTGGAAAAGGGGCAGTTGGGCTTCTAGGAGTCAGCCAGTGTCCAGGGCTTCCTTTCCAGGTTACACTCAGGAGTAGTTCAACATCCAAGCCAATTAAAGTATGTTAGTCCATGTGTGGAGGTCCACATGTTCATAGCCATGTGGGTCACGGGGGATGTACTCCCTCACAACAGGAATGTCAGGTATCCATTGTGTGCTGTACTGGGGGATAAGGAAGCGAAGCCTTCTTTTTTTTTTTTTTTTATACATTTTATCTTTAAAGGAAACTCTTGAATTTTCTTTCTTCCAGATCACGCCTGGCCGATTTTCAGACCCATTGTCATCCCATGGACATCCTAGGGACCTGTGCTACAGAACAGTCCAGATGTCTGCAAGCATACATGGGGCTGATTGGTGAGGCTAGGGGATATAGATTGGCCTTGGGGTGAGAATGCTCTGGCTACTGAACCCAGATGGAGTGCTCCTGAGATTGATGAGAGAGGGTGGGAGCTGAAGTTGGAGTTGGCCTAGGCTCTGACAATCCCCTCTTTACCCCACAGGAACTGCCATGACCCCCAACTTCATCAGCAATGTCAATACCAGTGTTGCCTTAAGCTGTACCTGCCGAGGCAGTGGCAATATGCAGGAGGAGTGTGAGCGGCTGGAAGAGTTGTTTTCCCACAACCCCTGCCTCAGTGAGTGTGCTCCCTCTGCTCCCTCCCCAATGGCCGGGTCATCTGGACTCAGAGGGAGGAAAAGGATCAACTCTGTCTATCTCGTGCAGGCCAAGCAGCCCCCTCCTCAGAACGGATTTACATCCCCCAGCCTGGGCCTGTCTTCCTCCTCCTGCTCCCTGAGTGACCTCCAGGCTTCCTGTTTAACCTGTCTGGGCCCCAGCGACACTACACCTCTTTCTTGATCCTGTCCTTTCCTCACTTCTGCCCTCCTATATCCCAGGGTCCCGGAAGTATTCCATTTCCTTCCTTGGGAGCCTAAAGAGCCAACAACTCTCCGCTTCTGAACTACCTTCTCTTTTCTCCTCAGTGAAGGCTATTGCAGTTAAGATGCGTTTGCACAGCCAGCTCTTCTCCCAGGACTGGGCAGACTCTACCTTACCTGTGATGGAACGCCAGGTAGGGCCTCTTCTATTACACTCCTCATACCTTTACTGAATCATCTGGGAGAATCCCAGACAAGGCAGACAGGGGGATGGAGGGAGTAACCTCCTTGTTATCACAAATAGTCTAGACCTCTAATGGACACCTTAGGTGAAGGGGACAGGCCTTGACTGAGGCCGAGGTGGTGGAAGGGGGTAGAGCTAACTCCATTGCATTTCTTCCACAGAACAAAAACCTTGCTTTGAGGCCACAGCCATGGATGCCCTCTCTTTTCTCCTGCACACTTACCTTGATTCTGCTCCCAAGTTTCTGATAGCTGGACATCCCTGGGGGCCCTCTTCCCCTCTACTACACCCAGCCTGAACCCTCTACTACACCCGCCTGCAAGAAATGAGGAAAGGACACCATCCAGAAGGAGGTGCAGGACACAACATGACCACCCTGACATCCCCACCATTGCACATCCACACAGTAGAAGCTGACTGGCGAAGTTCTCATTCCCTCCACTGCTGACTCAGGCCACGCCTCCTTAGGAATTGGTCACCATGGTTTAGCCATATCTTGTGGTGGTGACTGGCTCTACGAAGCTCCCTCCTGATCCCTTCCTACCAGGATCATCAGGATTTAACAAATCAGTTAGTTGGTATTGCATTCTCCAGGTAGTCAGAGCTGGGTGTTCTGAGGCAGCGTAGAAACACAGTCCCTGTTGTTAGGAAAGCCAAAGCAAGAATCCTGCTCCCATGTCTCCTCATCTGAATGGAGGATGGGAACCTGCTGCCTGTCCTGCCCTGGAATCCTGCAGAGCATTTGAGCAACAGGAGCTGGAGTGTTTAGGCCTTGATTTCCTCCTGTTACTGCCCCAAAGTCCTTCCAGCCTCTTGGATCATGATTAAACATTTTGACTTAAAACTTTGCTCTTTTTCCATTTTCACACATTTTGAACTTATACAGAACTTGAGATTTTACAGACAGAGGAGCACAGACCAGTGATCAGGAGACATATCAACTCTGCCACCAACTGCTGTGTGACTTTAGGCAAGTCTCTCAGCCTCTCTGTGTACTTGACATAGAATTGGAAGAAGAAAAAATAGCTTATGTGAGGCTGTGGATCTGTATCTGCCCAAGCTCCAGCCATTCCTGGGATACTGCCTGGGATCTGTCATAGCAGCTTAGAGGGGAGAGTCCTTAGTCAACCACAGTATTTATTGAGCACCTGCTTGTGTTATTGGTCTGCTCCACAGTCTAATGGGGCTTGAGGAAAGGGGAGACTGGTACTTGACCTAATTAACAACCCTGTTGGGATAAGGAAACAGCCACCTATGCAAAGTAGTTGGAAGGATATATTTACAGAGCTGTGGACATTTTTCTGTTAACTCATTCACTCACCCTTTCCATAAGCACCTAATGAGTGCTGGCTGCAAGGCACTGTGCTAAGTGCAGGAGATTCCAAGGTAATAATACTCAGATCCTGTTTTTCAAGCCTTTCACAAGGCAGGGGAATAGGCAAGACAGTCAATCAAAAATGCAGGTTGGTAAGTGCTGTGCAATAATCATAACGATAACCTCAGTTATTGAACCCCTCCTGTGTGCAAGTACATGTATTATTTTAATCCTCCAACAACACTTGATTTTGTCAGTCTTATAACTATGTGACCTTGGGCTTAACCTCTCTGGGCCTTATTATCCACATCTGTAACATGGAAGAAGCCTAAAATGTACCTCATAAGAAATGAGATAAGCCATGTAAAAACATTGTGACCAACACAAAGTAAGAACTCAAAAGATTTAGCAATTATAGTATAAGGTTTTTGTAGAGAATTCAGGTGATATAAATAATTATCAAGAAGAAATTAAAAACCTTTAAAATCTCACTGTCAAACTTCCAAATCTGCTCCCTACACATCTGTGCACATGAGAATCTATGGGTATGTATAATTTTTACATAAGGGGAGGCAGACACTGCATATCAAAGTGTAAGTCAATCTTTCAGCATCCATGAGTAGAGCGCTTGGTCTACATCACCCTTTTTTGTCAGCTGTAGAACATGGACTTGTATGAATTTATATTTCTACATATATAGTTTATTTAATGAGTTCTGTATTAATAGATATTTGCTTGTTTTCCTACACCCAAATTTTAAGGCAATTTGGGGGTAGGATGTGCAGAGGGGCTGCAGAGTGGTGGGTACAATAGGAAAACCTCTCCCCATACATTCTTGTATCACCATCGGCCACCCACCCCCAGGAAATATCCAAACAACCTTCCTCCCTGCAAACTCCAGTGGGACACTGGCTGGACCTTCCCCCTTCTTCCCCTCCCAGGAAGATCTCTGAGCTGTCAAGGCCTCTCCATTTGCTTTGGCTCCATTAGCCTAGGGCTGGGGTGTGAATGGTATAGTCATTCCTTGCTAAGTGCTTGAATTAGACTAATAGGTCATCTGTGCTTTTCTCTGAAGAAGGTCCAAATTCCTGGTAAACAACCAGATTACTCTCCCAGCCCAGGGCCCACAGCCAAGACCGGGGGGTGGGGGCACAGTGACTGGACTGAAGCTTTTAATGGTATCCTGGCTGGCTGGGATGGTTAATGCCATTAGACTAGCTTCGGGGTAACGAGGTGGGAAGAGCTGCTGGCAGCAGTGATAAATGGAGAGTACTGAATTGTAGACCTCAGCATGTTTGGGGTGAAGCACACTGTCTTTTAAACAACTATCTTCAAATTCACTCATTCAGTCAGTCAGTCAGTCAACGAACCTTTAACAAGTACTTGTTCTGTGCCAGGCTGTATTTTTCAAGATGTGTCCTTACCCATTCACAAGCTACCATTTCAGCAAAGGGCCTCAAGTTTGGGCGGCTGAGGCTCTTTATCCTAGTTGACTATAACATTCGGCTGTTTGACCTCGGGAAATATTCTTTACACCTCTGAGCCACTATTTCCTCATCTATGCTGGAGAAGCCAATGGAAATACCTAACTTAAAGGTTTTGCTTTTTTAAAAAATACATACAACATTAGTAATTTAATTTTAGCTAAAAAACTAATGGGCAGCCCTAGCTGGTTTGGCTCAGTGGATAGAGCCTCAAACTGTGGGCCAAAGGGTCCCGGGTTTGATTCCTGTCAAGGGCACGTACCTCGGTTGCAGGCTCCTCCCTGGCTGGGCCCTGGCAAAACAAACTAATTGGCAATATCAACTAATGTTTATATCAATTTTAATGGTTTGGGTTGGCAATCTTTGGGCTTCTTATTTCTATAAAAGCTTAATAAGCATGAGGAATTTATGCTTGTTTTGATCTCCATAAAAATATTTAAAACCAATCAGAGTTGTTTTGAGGACTGGAAATAATTATAGCACTTAGCATAGTGCCTGATACAGCATGAAGACTCAATCAGTGACAGCTATTACTGTTATTTCTAGGAAAGGATCTGTGGGTACCATGTACTCCACTCCCTGCACTGGAGTGATGGTGAGCGATGGTGCTGGCTCTCCCTCCAAATGAGCTGAATTCTGGGAGATTCACTATTCAAGGTCTGAACTCCAGGATGAAGCCAGAGCTCTGGGTCTGTAGCTCAGGCCCCGAGGGACCTTGCACAAGCCATGGACTCAAAGAAAATGCTTTAATCAAGGGTCTTTTAGCTGCAAGTAACAGAAACATTGGAATTACTTGGTAAAGGGGGAGTGTCATGCAACCCAACCTCAGGAGTACAGCCAGGCATTAGGGGATCTGGAACTGGCAAGCTAGGAACCAGTTTTGATCCCCATTTATTGAAGACCTAGACATCATGGACCATCTACCGTATTTGCCGGCGTATAAGACGACTGGGCGTATAAGACGACCCCCTAACATTTCCACTCAAAATACAGAGTTTGTTATATACTCGCCGTATAAGACTACCCCCTCTTCCGCACACCTTCCACACACCAAATAAAAGGTAAAACAATATCAGATTTGATTTTAACATTTTAATTTATATTCAAATGCTTATGACATGCAGGAAAACTGTCACAAGGCTGTATGTAATCAAACATATACATAAAACAGTGCAAGTTTAATACCGGTAAACATACCGGTAATTCACTAAAGAAAACACACTCTATAGACTGGTACCGTAGATGCTTCTCAGGAACACAGGCAAGCAGCCCACAACCTAGAGGGACTGTCAATGATAGAAGTAAGATAACAAATAGAGGTAGAGAGCAAGTGCCGGGCAAGTCCCTAGCAACCCGCCCTGTCACTATAGCAGTCTGGTCCACCCTTGCATCAGCATCTCCCTGGGACCTCACTAGTGCGCAAGTGCGAGCTCTTCAACATTCTAACAGGCACCATGATAGCGCAAAATCGCGAATCTTCAATGCATATGTAAAGAAATATACGGTAACCCGAATTTACCACACTCGCAAAATCGCACACAGCCAACCATACACCCAGTATGGTATCTCGATTCGCGATTTTGCGCTATCATACTGGGTGTATGGTCGGCTGTGTGCGATTTTGCAAGTGTGGTAAAATCGCATAACAGCAAAATCGCATAACAGCCGAGCATACACCCAGCAGCGCTGCTGATGCCTGAACGGTATGTGGAATGAAGTGGGCGGGCATCGGGAGGCCACTATGGCACGGGGCAAGCACTATGGGCAGTCTATCTGAAGTGTACCTGGCGTATAAGACGACCCCCCACTTGGAGGCATATTTTTCAGGGCCAAAAAATCGTCTTATACACCGGCAAATACGGTACTTCATTCTCTCTGCAGACCTACTTCTTCTGCATGACATTCCAGGTCCAGCTACTTCAGCTACATGACCTCCTATCCCAATTTCAAACTCATGGAAAATCTGATTGCCCGTACACAGGTTCTAGATTGGCTTTTCTGGATCGAGGGTCCATCTCAGGCCTATCAGCTGAGAAAAGAAACTAGTTCCATGTGCTAGCAAAGTGATTACAGGATCCCAGGGCTATTATTGGAGGGCAGTTCTCAGAGAAGTCAGTGTGGCTCACTAGTACCCCCAAAGGCATAGACTCTTGTCAGGGAATTGGGGTGAATCTTAATCACCTGAGGTCCAGATTTGCTCTTGTGGCTTCCTCCCTGACCTAGAAGTGACTTTGCTGAGCTTCCTTCTTGGATGCCCTGAAGGGAGGGGAATGTAGAAACACAGGGCAGGTACTGCAGCTCCTTTGGGTCTGAGAATCACTCTGGGAGGTAGATCTGAGGGATTCTTTATGGCTGCAGAAGGAGGCTTTGCTGCCGTGGGGCTTGCTAGATTTCTGATCCTTGCAGTTGAAGAAGGAGCAAAGTGAAGACAACCAGAATATGCCACCTGCTCTAGCTGATTTGGCTCAGTGGATAGAGCATCAGCCTGGGGACCGAAGGGGCCCAGGTTCGATTCTGGTCAAGGGCACATGCCTAGGTTGCAGGCTCAGTCCCCTGTAGGGGGCATGCAGGAGGCAGCTAATCAATAATATTCTCTCATCATTGATGTTTCTATCTCTCTCTTCCCTCTCCCTTCCTGTCTGAAATCAATAAATATATGTTGAAAAAATATGCCATCCAAAATATGCCACTTTGGCATAAGGATTGTTTTTACTTGAAGGCAGTTGAGCTGTCCTCTGAGGACACATCTAATTGCAGAGCTGCTGCTCTGAAAGCCAGGCCTTGTGGAGCAGGCAGGAATCTTGGGGAACTGGTGTGCAGAATTCTGGCCTGGCATACTTGACCTCCTGGCCCCGGGAGCTCCATGGCTCCTCACCCCCTCGGTGACATCCCAAGGCACAGAGGTCAGTGTATATGGGTCAGAAGATGAAATGAGCCTTTGTCTGGGCTGGGAACAGTGACAAATAGGAAGGGAGAGTCCCTCCCCCACAGAGGGATAGCAGCAAATAGCCCCTCCCCATGCTGACCTCTCCACCAGTTGCTGTG